GCCACCCTCGAGAACATCATGCAACGACTGGAATGGGAAGGAATGGGAGTGAAGATAGATGGTTGGCAACTACACCACCTCCGCTTTGCTGATGACATTGTTCTAATAACACCAAACATTAGCCAAGCAGCACAAATGCTGGCCGACTTCGACCATAAGTGTGGAAAGGTCGGACTACAGCTAAATCTTACGAAGACAATGTTTATGAGAAACAGCCTCGTTCCTGATGCTCCATTCGCTCTCAATGGAACAACCATCTCCGAATGCAACAGTTATGTGTACCTAGGTCGAGAATTCAACATGATAAATGACCTGACACCTGAGTTGTACAGGAGGAAGAGAGCGGCTTGGAACGCCTTCAAGAGCGTTGAAGAAATAGCTAAGAGGACGAAGAACCTCTGGCTCTGGGCACATCTCTTTGATTCCACTGTTCTTCCTGCATTAACAAATGCCTCAGAGACCTGGGCCCTACGAAAACAGGATGAGAATGCTATTAGGGTCTCCCAAAGGGGAATTGAAAGAGCTTTACTTGGAGTATCACGTTTCACTCAAATGAGAGAAAGAATCTGGAGTTCCAACCTCCTTCAACGATCAAGAATCAGGGACGCTGTCTCATTTGCCAAGGTGTCAAAAATCAGATGGGCTGGACACATAATGAGATTTAGAGACAACCGCTGGACTAGAGCCGTTACCGACTGGATTCCACGGGACTTCAAAAGACCACATGGCCTCTCACCTACCAGATGGTCAGACATCTTCATCAAGATCATAAACGATCGGTTTGAGGCTCTTCGTGTTCCTAGAATGAACAGACGCCATTGGGCTACACTAGCATGCGACAGGGACAAATGGAGACATTACTGGCGCCTGCTCAGGCAAATCGACGATTAACAGGAAGTCAAGTGATCAAGTAATTTATGATTTTATATATAATGTTTTCTCGGCACATATGCTGCCCTGAGTCCTTGTGTTGCTCGTACCCACGCAACTAAGTACATGTGGTGACTGAGCACATGTGTCGCCCGCATCTCCCCTCTTGAGATGTGTGCTTTCATGCTTTCGTGTCTAATGTTGGTATGTGTGTAGAGGCTATCTCCGCCCTTGGAGAAGCCCGTGTTCTCTCTTGAGTATGTTAGTATCTCATTTTAAAAAAATAAATTAAAATAGTGTTTTCTCATGAACGTTATTTCAACACAGTCTTTTTTTAGCTATATGGAATCAGTAAAATAGCTCTAGAACTGAGGGCTGTAGAGACATTTGAAGCCTATTTTCCCACTGCCCATTATAATGACATTGGGCAAGTGTCCCCTGAGGTGACTTTCCTTTTCTGTGGCTTACAGCTAATGCTCTCTCCCCCACAAGTTTTGTTGGAAATAAACAAGACAATGTGCCTATAAATTTAGCCTCCAAATATATATTGAGCCTCTCTGCTGCACTTGAGTGTTGCTCCCAGTGTGTGGCAGAGTGGTGAGCAAGATAGATGAGGCGTCCATGTTCAGTAATTATATTTTATGGAGAGAGAGTCGATGAGCAAATAAGTAGATGAAATACTGGCCACATAAGAAGAAATAAAAATACTCTACTTGGGATCAGGACCCACTATGTCCATACTAAATAAATGTTAGTTTCTTTCCCTTCTCAACTATCTCAGCTGCAAGTCAACATAAAGGAAGTTTCTTGTTAAAACTTACATTAGTTAGCAGAATTTAGATCTGAGATTGCAACTGGGAAGAAATGAGAAGTCTCTGGGAAGAAATGAGCAGAGAGCCCAGCAGAGTTCTCCATTCTGGGTTCATAAATGCTCAGAAATGGAAGTTTCGTTGAAAGAAGAAGGAGATCAGGAGAGGGCTCTGTGCTTTGCCTTTGCAGTAGACAGAGGGACAGAGTCAACACAGGTAGGCTAGGAATTACTGATAGGAAATCAGGTTATGACTTGATGGAAGGAGAGAAGAGAAAAGCAGAGGAAAAAAGGAGGTGGGCAGGGCTAGGATCTGGAGCCAGATACGGAAAGGGAGTCGGGTATAAATGGTAGCTGAATGAGGTCAACTGTCAGGGTCAACTCAGCCAACTACTTCCCTGGGCATTGTATGAGTGGCCCAAGGTCAACAAGAGATGACTCTGGAGTTCTTTCTCATTATTCTGCTTAGGTTTATAGGAAAAATATGAGGAAGGGTAAGAATAAGAACTAAAAGTGGAGAGTAGGAACTGATTAAGAGCCAATAAGTTGTTTCTAAAAGGTACTTTGACTCCAAGAAATGAAAAGAAAATAAAAGAGCAGATTATTAGAGGCGCAGGCGCTTTTGAAGGTTTCCAGCTGGACCATAATAGTGTTGTTGGTGGTGATAGGAGTGGAGAAGTGGTAGGCAATGTTTATTGGACATATACGTTCAATATGCTTATTGAACATATAACCCACTATGAGACAGGCTTGAACATATATTGAACATATATCCTCACTATGAGACAACCTTCATTGCCAGGGAAAAATTGATATGATTGCTTGTAATACTAAAAATTAGCTTTGAATTTTAGTCCTACCACTTAAGAGCTTGGTGGGCATGGAAAATGTAGTCTTTCTAAGCCTCAGTTTCTCCATTACCACATGGATCCTACACTGACTGCAAATGATTGGGAAAAAGCAGAAGAGCAGACAATCGATGGGTGGAAAAAACAGGCATTTATATTTATATGGGTAAGGATTTCAGAAGTATATAGTTTTGGAGGTTATGCAGCTACTGAAGTCTATATTTTAAAAAATTTTGCTTTTTATCTAATTTTCCATCTTTGTATATATCTCTCATATTTATGACTCCAGCCCCTTATCAGAATGTCCATGTTTATTAAGGGAGAAAGTAAAACACATTAGCTTATTCTTGTAGTGGTTTTCTTTTCATTGGAGAAAAAGAATTTCTTCCCTGGAACTTTTTCTTATATCTCATTGGTCAGAACTGATCCACATGGCCACCCCAATGGCCAAAAAGTCTCAGAGATCTAACTGTGTTTGTATGTCTATTTTGTTGTAATTGAGTACATTTCTACCATGTAAAGAAGACAAGTTATCTGACATATAAAAGAATGAAAGGTGTGGATATTAGGTAGGCAACTTCCAAAACTATTTTGCAAGTTGTGTGTGAGGATTAATTTGACTACTATACCTCACTCCAAGCCTACTCGGACTGGAGTCGAGCATCCTCCACCCAGATCCTCCAAATTCCAGTAGGCGGGGGTCACACCCACCAACTGGCCCCCTGGCGCTGTGTAATCCCATTAGCGGCCAAGACTCTGAGACTATAAAAACCAGCTCCCGGAACCGCGCGGCCGCGCGACATCTTATTATGACATCTCATTCCTACTTTGACAAATTGGCAGGCTACCGAATGTAGCCTGCCCACACGGCAGAGTCTGGCAAACTCCCCGTGGTGTACCCAATATGCCAAATACCAGTAACAATGATGGGTCTCATTCTCCTAAAGAGCCTTGAATATAATCTCAGGGCTAGGATGAAGGAGACGTTACTGGGGCTGCTCGAGGCAATCGACGAATAACAGGATGATCTGTGATCTGATCTGATCTGTGATTATACCTCACTAGTGAGGTGGGCACAGAAGGATCTTTAACATATGTCTCTTTTTACTCTCTGTTAGAGGCATATTGACTTTATGTCTTAAGGTATAACTTGCTTTTTGTGAAGATACACTTGGAGCTTCATCAAGATTTGTTGGCTCCAGTCTATGTAATCCAAAAGGCCAGGATATTCTTGTGGTTTTAGACTACTAACTGGTCTAAGTGGCCTAACACTATAAAATTATGAACTCTAATCATAGATATAACTAGAGTTAAGATATTTGCTTAGACAAATCATTCTTCCTGATTATTTTTCCACCAAATTTTTTTTTTGCGAGGCAAAGAACTTTATTAACCTTTGTTTCAAATTTTATTCTCAGGCTTCTTCAGCTTAATTAGCTGCAAAGAATGACTTGTATATAAGCAAAAACCGAAAAGAGCTGCAGTGTCCAAGGGACTTGAGATTAAAAATATTAGATCTAGATCATATAAGATCCTTGAACAAAATTTTAAAAATCAATCATAATATAAAATAACAGCTCCAAGTTTTCAAGTTTTATCTCCCCCAGAAGCTGACTCAATTCAGTTTTCTTCATTCTTGGAAGCCTCATCAAAATTCTCCACAAGATCTGGAACTTCATCATCATCATCATCCTCTCCAGTAGCAAGTGGTGCTTTTCCATCCACTGATTGTTTAGGCAGAGCTTCAGCCAGTCTCCTTGAACTAGTCAGACTGTCTGCACCAACTTAGTTTAAGATACTAGCAAGTATTTCTGTCAGCTGCTTTGTCTCAGCATGGCCTGTAATGGTGAAAGTGTTCACAGCCAGGGATGCTTGAACTTTAGGGTTATTAAAGTGGACCACTGTTTCTTGGTTTGTGAACATATTCACCTCTTCAATACCAGAGATATTATTTACGTCCAACTTCTTTAAGGAGAACTTGAGTTTCTTATCATCTGCTGTAGCTGTTCTATGAACCACCTTCTTCTTTCTGCGAGCAGTTCCTTTCCCAGCAATGCGCTGTTGGGCTTGCAGTTTGGCAAGCTTCTCTTGGTTCATAGTTTCTTTCATCTTTTTGTACCTTGTTGGAGCAAAAATGGGGCCACCGGGGGGACCAAGTGTTGGCGCTCAGGGGGTCTCGGCGGACCAGCTGAGATTAGGCGCACACATGCGGGGACACAAGATGGCAGTTAGAGTTTCCACCAAATGTTGAGCTCTCAGAGAGTGAGGGCATGCACTAGTTTTTGTATTCTCAGAATGTTTGCTTTGCTTATTGAGTTGTATTGACACTTTTAAAAGGAGCCATTCACCACTGTTTAAAGAATTATTAGTTGAAAATTTAGTAATCTATAGCAACAATAAGAGTTTTCATGTCTTTTCTTTCTTCCCCTCTCTTTTTTGTCTCTACCCTAATCCCTAAAAATTTATCATTTCAGCCACCTGAAGTGGTTATAGACAAAGTCAAAATTTTTAAAAAGATTCCTATTTACACCATTTCCTTCAATTACTACGATGAGGTTGCAAATGGATTTTTGAAAATGATTTCTTCTTTGACTGGAGGAGAGTTCCATTGTTATAATTTTTGCAGGAAAGACCCCTATCCTTCAGATACACTTCAGGTAAGAGCTTGATGAACTGAGACAAGAGTGAGTAATTTGTGCATTTCAGTCTGGTGACCTATTAATAATACTTTGATTAGGAAAACAACGATCACAAAGTAAGTTCAATTGAGCAAATGTATTGCTTAATAGTGTGTGTGTCTGTGTGTATATGTGTGTGTATGCTCTCACACACACCAGAGTTTCTTCAACTATGGTTCAAACGCAGAGAAAATCATTCAAAGGAGTAGAGTACATGCATGGCAGGCAGAGAACTTTAGTTTGATCCCCATCACCACAAGATCCCTTGGGCACCATTGATAATAGTTATAGTGGACCCCAAGTGTCTCTAAGTATGGCCCTTTGGACTATACTGGGCATAAGTAGCACCACACTGATGTCTTGAGAATTGTACACAAGAGTAGCCCAAATATTTCTGGAACTGGTTCCAGGTCTCCTGAACACTCCTCAGAGATACATATACCCTAAATGTGGTCTAAACCCAACTGTACTAGGGTATTTGTGAAAAATAAAGTTTCTGAGTTCTATTTCAAAGCTATTAAATACATTGAGGCATTGAGACCTAGGAATTTTAATGAAAATATTTTTTTCTCCTAAACTATTATTGTGAAGTATTTCATACTTTAATGTAGAAAAGCATATACACATACATTATACATCAATAAAACTCAACAATAATATCTCATCAAACTTCTAGAATCTGTAATTTTAATAAATACCTAAGGATTCATTCAAAAATTATTAAATACGTATGTGTAAATATTTTTGTAAGAAGTAAAAATGTATTTAGATGTAAGTAGCTGTCTTCTGATCAGACAATTTTATGAGTCAAATGACCATTTGTTAAGCATTTTTCTAAAGGAAGTAAATAAAAACTCTGTTTCTAATCTTTCCTGAACAGCATAGATTTCAAGAATGCTCTCCTAGAGAATTTTTAAATCTCATTGCCTTTCTGAGAATGACCTTAGATCTAGAACAATCCAGAGTACCTGCATGTGAAGAGACTACCGGAGGTTGGAGAAAGAATCATCCAGAATATTCACAGAGAATAGTGCTATGAGCTCACATACAACAGGAAATAATGGTTACTTTAATAACTAAAACCAAAAGACTTCACAATCCTGTTGGCACTGGATGTAGTGTACATAATTAGATATATAAATTAGTATATACTAGTTTGTATACTGTCCTCCTGTTGTTCATCGATTTGCTCGAGTGGGCCCAGTAATGTCTCTATTGTGAGACTTGTTGTTACTGTGTTTGGCATATCAAATACATCATGGGTAGCTTTCCAGGCTCTGCCATGCGGGCAAGATACTCTCGGTATCTTGCGAGGCTCTCCGAGAGGGGCAGAGGAATTGAACCCGGGTCAGCCAGGCTGGCAGCATGCAAGGCAAATGCCCTGCCGCTGTGCTATCGCTCCAGCCCAAGCATATACAAATTGCATATATTGGAAACAAGCTCCAATTCTTCCTGTTGGCTCTTAAAGGCAACAGCTCTATCAAACAATTTCTGATCCTCTTAATTTTATCCCTGAACAAACCACAGAAGGCCACAACAAACTATAGGAAGGCTAAACCATCCACTACCCAATATAATAAAATCGATAAGTTTTGGCGTTCAATCAAGTAGCACAAGTATGTAAAGCAACACTAAAACAGACCATAATGAGAAGAAAAAGAAAAAATTAAACACATGCACAACTAATATGGATCTATTATTACAGCATCAGAAACAGTTATAATAGAGACCAGAAAGAGGTATAGGAGGTAAGCTTTGCTCACGACCAATCCAGGTCAATCTCTGGCACTGCATGCTGTTTTCTTGAGCACTCCCAGGACTCTTTCTTGATGATAATGCAATGCCTCTGTATAGCACCTGAGAAAGGCTGGGAATGATCCAAAGACCCCTACCTTTGAAGAGTACTTGTAACTGTTTTTGGTATGTTCAGAAAGTTATTGAGCAACATGGAAGATTCAAATGAGATTCAGCTCTGCCTTTAAACCAGTAAGTCTGAATTCAGCTAATAAAATAAACTGCCTAGGGATGAATACTGTAATATATGAGGCAAAAAAAATTCATGGATAGAATGAATGGCAGATTGGATATTGCAGAACAGGAAGCCAACATTAGATGTATCCTAAATACAACACATGAAAGAAAAAAAATTGAAACCAAAAGACCAGAACTGAGCATCAGTGAGCCGTGAAAAAATTCAAGTAGTCTAGTAAACATGTAGTTCAAGAAATAGTGGCAGGAAATTTTCCAAATTGGACCCAAACAATGAACCCACATATCAAAAAACTCCATAAATCGCAAGCACAAGAAACCTATGAAAATCATACTATGATACATCGAATCAAAAACAAACGTCTTAGAAAAAGTGACATAGGTAAAAATCTTAAAAGAAATCAGGGTAAAGAAGATTTACCATGTTTATAGGAATAAAGATAAGGATAACAGCAGATTTCTGATCAGAAACAATGTAAATGAAAATCAGTTGAGTGACATTTTTATTTATTTTTTTATTTTTATTTTTTTAATTTTTGGATCACACCCGGCGATACACAGGGGTTACTCCTGGCTCTGTACTCAGCAACTACCCCTGACGGTACTCAGGGGACCATATGGGATGCTGGGAATCAAACCCGGGTAAGCCGTGTGCAAGGCAAATGCCCTACCCGCTGTGCTATCACTCCAGGGAACTGGGGGAGAGAGAATAAGGCATTCAGAGTGGAAAGAAGAGTACAAACTTGTCTTTATTTTTATTCAACATGGAATGTACAAAATTAAATAAAATATGCAAAAACTCTAACTGATAAGTCAATTTATCAAGATTCTAGAATAAAAATTAACTTATTCTACATATATGCAAAGAATAATTGAAATATAATTGTTATTTACAATAGTTTCAAAAAATTGAAATCTATAAGGAAAAACCTGTCAAAATATGTGAAAAACTTATACACTGAAAACTACAAAGTATTGTAGTTATATATCACAGTGTTAAGATCCTTATTATTTTTTAAATTATCTGTAGACTTGCACCAATTCAAGTTTTAGCAGCTTTTTAATGTGTGTGAAAATTGCCATCTAGTTATGTGGAATACAAAGGATTTAAAAAAGCCCGAACAACTTGAAAAAGAAAAGCAAGGTTGGGAAAATGATACTGTCAAATTCCAAAAGTGGGGTAAACCTATAATAAAACAATTTATTAGTGGAAAGATAAACATAGAAATCAATGGAACATAAATGAGAAATCAGAAATAGACTGACACATTGTGTTCTCAATAACAAGGGTACAAAGGCAATTCAATGGAAATAAGATATAGTCTTTTTCTTAATAGATGGTATTTGAACAATTGAGTATTCATGTGCAAAAAATTAAGCTTTCTCCATACCAATCAAGAGGTACAGAGTGGCAGGATGGATTAGAAAATTGCATTCAACAGTCTGCTGCCTGCAAGAACATAATGGAACAATCAAAGAAAACAGACTCAGAATCAAAGGCTGCAAAACAATTCTGCAAACAAACAACCCCCTCAAAAAACTGGAGTGAGCGTACTAGTATTGGACCAAATAAACTTCAGGCTGAAAAGGTTATAAGACAGTGAAGGTCATTTCTTAATGATAGAACTTGTACATCAGGAAGAACTCACAACCCCTAAATGTGTATGCACCTAGTGAGGAACCAGCAAGATACTTAAAACTGCTTAATAGAGTTGAAGAAAGACATTGACAACAACACAATAGTAATTGGAAATTTCAACAACGCTTTGTCACCTCTCAATAGATCAACCAGACTCAAACTCAGCAAGGAAATACTTTATTTGAAGGAAGAAAGGGAAGAGAGGAGGTTAGTAGATATACACAGGACTTCCCAACCCCAAAACCTGATACATTCTTCTCCTGTGCACCTGGGACATTCTGTACATGTGATTTCTGCTGTAAGTTTTATTATTTCCTTGCTCCTGCCTGGTTTGGGCTCCTTTCATTGGTCATTTTCCAAGATCTTAAGCTCTTAAGATGACATGTGATGACAGACCACATGCTGGGCCACCAAATATACCTCCATAAAATTAAGAGGATAGAAATTGTATCAAATTGCTTTTCAGATCATGATGCACTGAAAATAGAAGTGAATCACATACAGAAACAGAGAATCAAATCAAACACCTGGAAATTAAACAGCTTGCTACTAAACAACCAGTGGGTTAGAGAGGAAATAAAAAGATTTCTGGAAACAAATGAGAATGAGGACACGAACTACCAGAACTTGTGGGATACAGCAAAAGCAGTGTTAAGAGAAAAGTTTATAACGCTGCAAGCATTCATCAGGAAGTTAAAAAAGGCCCACATAAATAACCTCATAGCTAAAGGTCTTGGAAAATGACCAACAAAAGGAGCCCAAACCAGGCATGAGGAAGGAAATAAAACTTGAATCAGAAATCAATGAACTGGAATCCCAAAACACAATCCAAAAGATCAACAAAACCAAGAGCTGGTTCTTTGAGAAAATAACCAAGATTGATAAACCAATAGCAAGATTCGCAAAGAAAGGGAGAGAAAGCCCTAATAAACCAAAACAGAAATGCAAAGAGGGACATTACAATAGAAACTGCAGAATTCCATAGGATTATCAGAGATTACTTTGAGAATTTTTAAGCCATGAAACAAGAGAAACTTGAAGAAATAGATAAATTCCTGGACTCCTATAATCTCCCAAAGCTGACCCAAGAAGACTTGGAATACATGAACAGGATTATCACCATCAAGGAAATTGAAATAGTAATCAAAATCTTCCCCAAAACAAAGCTCAAGCCAGATGGATTCACTAGTGAATTTTTCCAAACCTTTAAAGAGGACCTGCTGACAATCCTTTTCAAGCTTTTATAGAAAATTGGAGAAACAGAAACACTCCCAGTTTCTATGAGGCACATATCACCCTGATACCAAAATCAAACAGACAGAGAGAGAGAGAGAGAGAGAGAGAGAGAGAG